TGGCACGCTGCTGGAGACACCCTACTTCAGTTTTCTATCCTGGGTCTTCAACGTGCCACACAGCTTCCAACACTGTGCAATTCTTGGAGTGACTTAACCCTCCCACTGATTCATGTAACAGTCTGACTCCTTCTGCAGTACATAGGTCCAAAAAAACCCACATCTGACCCAGTCTTTAGCTGGTGATAGCCCTTCCTCTTAGGGTCTGTCCTCTCTAGCTAACACTCTTCAACCCTCCTGGACTTTGCTCAGGCTTTACCCGCTCTTTTGAGAGTGCCAACTAGATGTAAGATCCATCCAGGGCCTATTTCCCTGGTGTCCTTCTGCAACCTGGTGTCTCTCTACCTGAAGTTCCCCTGCTCCCCGCAGATCCTCTTCAGTTCTCCTCCATACCATCACCCTGCTCCAAGGCCTACTATCACAGGAGCCCCTCCGCCCCACTCCCTGTATTCCCCCTTTTTAAACTGAGCCTTTACTGAGCCGCAGATGACAAATACATGAAAGGATGGGAGTTGCCTTACCAAGTGTGAGGTCAGTTGAACGAGACAATTCAAACAGCAGCAGGACAACAAAGAAAGAAAAATAACTTTTCAATTGGTAATGAGAGTGGCTCATTTCAGACAGTTGACAAGAAGGTGTGAGTAACAGTAGGGGGAAATTAGTATTGGGGAAATTAAGTTTAGGTTTTGTAATGACCGAACCACTCCCAGTCTTTATTCAGGCCTAATCTGATGGTGTCCAGTTTGCAAATTAATTCCAGTTCTGCAGTTTCATGTTGGAGTCTGTTTTAGAAGTTATTTTGTTGAAGAATTGCCACTTTTAGGTCTGTTATTGAGTAACCAGAGAGACTGAAGTGTTCTCCTACTGGTTTTGAATGTTATGATTCCTGATGTCAGATTTGTGTCCATTTATTCTTTTGCGTCGAGATTGTCTGGTTTGGCCAATATACATGGCAGAGAGGCATTGCTGGCACATGATGGCATATATCACACTTGGTAAGGCAACTCTCATCCTTTCATGTATTTATACCACCTTCTGTATTTTCCACTCCATGCATCCGATGAAGTGGGTTCTAGCCCACGAAAGCTTATGCCTAAATACATTTGTTAGTCTCTAAAGTGCCACAAGGACTCCTCATTGTTTTTTGCTGACAGACTAACACAGCTACCACTCTGAAACCTGTAACCCCCAAGGAGACTACCTAGATTCCTGGGACTCTGTCTGCTGGCAG